GGGCTCCCTGACACCGCACTTGGCGCCCCCACCTTCGCGCACGGCCGGAGTTGGGTCCCCGCATGGTGGTGGCGGCGAGCCCGAGGGCCGGGCATGGATGGAGCCCGGGGACCGAGGCGCACGCGGGGGATGGGGCCGGGCACGGTAAGGGGCTGGGTGGTGGGAGGAGGTGACGCGGGGGCGCGGGAGGGCGCAGCCTCATCCCTGCGCCCTGGGCGGGTCCCGTCCTCCGCAGGGCGCGCGGCGATGTGAGCCATGAGCGCGACGTGGACGCTGTCGCCGGAGCCGCTGCCGCCATCGACGGGGCCCCCGGTGGGCGCGGGCCTGGACGCGGAGCAGCGCACGGTGTTCGCCTTCGTGCTCTGCCTGCTCGTGGTGCTGGTGCTGCTGATGGTGCGCTGCGTGCGCATCCTGCTCGACCCCTACAGCCGCATGCCCGCCTCGTCCTGGACCGACCACAAGGAGGCGCTCGAGCGCGGGCAGTTCGACTACGCCTTGGTGTGAGGGGCGCGGCGCTCCCCGGGCCGAGCCTCCGCGGGGTCTCCCAGGGTCGGCCGACCCGGGCGCCGCCAGGCCTGGACGGCGTTCAGGATCCCGCACCAGAGTCCCCAGCGTGGGGGGGAAGGGCATTAGGAGAAGTCCAGCCCTCCCCCCCTTCGACCTTTCCCATCTCCCCTCCTGGCCAGTCCAGAGCCCACCTCGTGCCTTTACCTCGTGTCCCTTCCTTTCTCCGCAACTTACCCGCCAGGCTGGACCCCAGACTCTGAATCCCGGGTGGGAGGAGGACCCCCCGCACTGCCCCCTCCCCAGCGTGTAGGTGGCTCTGCTATCGCCCTGCCGCTGGGCATGAGTGTCATGTCCGTTCCTGTGGGTGGAGACCCCCCTTGTCTTCCCCTCCCTCCCCGGCCATCCTCAACCCCACCTTGAGTGTTGAGCCTGTCCTTGGGCGCCAGCCCTGCGTGGACGCTGCATACCAATATGCCCTGCACAGCCTGTCCCCGAGACGGAGCCCGAAGACCTACCATGGCTGCTGTGTCCAGGATGCCTGGCGCCTTCCGTGGGGGGAGAGCGCGCGCGGGCTCATCCTCGGCCCCAGCCCGGGCCCCAGAACAGGTCAGCGCGCCCCTCCCTCGGAGCCCACCTCCGCCCCTCACCGGCCTCTGTGCCACCTCCCCCTGACCCCCTGCTTTCCCCCCAGGCCTCCCCATGCCTTTTCACTCCTCCCTGCCTCTGAGCCGATGATATTAATAAAAGCTATTATTGAGCGCTTCCTGCATGCCAAGCAGCGTGCTGAGTTTGGGCTTCCTGTTTCTAGCAGGCCCCGTTAGCATCCCCATTCTACAGGCAGGGGACCGAGGTCCAGGCAGCTGCAGAGACTTGCCCATAGCTACGTGGCTAAAGTCCAGTCGGCTGGAAGAGGAGCCCAGGTCTGGCTCTGCGTGCTCCTAAAGGCTGCTCAGGGACACCCAGACCCACAGGCACTTTTCAGCTTTGTGGGGGCCGACATGTAAGCGTCTTGATCCCTCCAGCTCAAGGCACAGCGGAGACACCCTCCCCCACCTTTTACACACTTCTTTCCCTTGACCTGGAGAGGTGCTGGGGTCTTGGGTTGGACTCAGCCCCATGGGGAGCTGGGATTGGGCGCTGGAGGTTGCCAACTGCACCTGGCACCCCAAACATCCAGAGCCTCATCCCTCCTGCCCACCAGCCCCTTGTGCGCCTTGGAACCGTGGGTCTGGCACTGTGGAGCCGTGACCACGAGCTGGCTCTGTTCCACGGCAGCCTGCCTGGGAGATGTGTTGTGCACCCTGGGGGAGCCGTGTGCAATGTGCGTGGGGAGAAACGAGTGTTTCTATAAAAGGCAGGCAGCTTGAAGGCACAGGCGCCGCAAGCAGAAAACTTACCAACTCCCAGACTAGTTAGACGTGGGGGAGGGCTGCACTGTGGGAGGACACCCGCTTCCCCAAGAGGAACCCTGGTTCCGCCAGACCTGCCCCTGAACCCCACCCACAGGGCAGGTGAAGCTGATGAGGGGGTCCCCTGCAGTGAAGCCCAGCGGCACCACTAAGAATATGGGGTCTTGGGGATCGGTCAGGACTCTGGCCTGCCCCTTCCACCCGGTGCTGCCCCTCCCTCTGCCTAAGGCCCCTCCAGGACTCCCTGCCTCCTCCCCTTACTTCTGGAGATCATTGAGGCCCCAAAGCCACTTCGAGGGACATACTCCCCTCCCTCAGCCTCCTGCCACTTGGGGCAGCCCCTCCAACCCTTGGCCCCCCAGCCTGGGGCCTTGTTCCTCCCACTGGCCACCCTCTCTCCTGGCTTCTCTCCCCTCCACCTGTATGATGTGACATCACCCTGTTATAAAAACCTATCCCTGACACCTGCCTGGTTGTCATCTTCCCATCCATGCTTGTCAAAGAGCCACCTCCACACAGTCACCAAGGGGCTCCTCACAGCCAAACTGAGGTAGCTGCAGGTGTCATTGAACCAGATGTGACAGCAGCAGCCTTGCCGGGGACTGTGCCCTCCTCCCTGGCACGCCCACCCCCCAGCTCCCATTATCCCTAGTTCTGACCCTTCAGGCCCCCACTTCCACCTTGAAGTCACAGGCAAAAGAGAGCAAGGCAGGTTGGCCAGAACTTTATTGGAGGTCACAGGACACCCCTGGGGAGGGTGGAGGAGCCAGCATAGGGACTGTTGGACTGTAGTCAGCTGAACAGGGCTGGGGATATGGGGCCCTGAGGAACATAAACAGGGGGAGAAGCACAAAGAATAGAAACCTAGCAAAGGAGGACATGTAAGAGGGGATTCGTGGCATGGGGTGCCAGCTATGCCCCCTGGCAGAGAACAAGGTGCAGCTGGGCTTGGGGAAAGGTGGGGCTGGTCCTGTCCCTCTGTCCGCCTGTCCAGGTCAGGCTGCTTGTGGGCAGAATACTGCATCCCCCGTTCCCCAAGAACCCAGCCATCTGACTGGCCCCATCGAACTGTACAATTGCAGTTCCATTTCTGAGACTCCCAATGTATCGGTCATTTAAAGCCCACCACCCCGTGCTGAGCTCTCCATGTTCGGGACCTTCCACCATCCACCATGTTGGGATCCTCACGACAAGCAGTGCCAGCCAGGCAGGACTGAGGGCCAGATCAGGATGTCTGGTGTGTCCGCCTCATCTTGCAGGGGTGGCCACCCGGCCCAGAAGCTCCAGAGGAACCAGGAACGGGTTTAGAGGGCAGATCCCAGCTTCTTGCCAGGTCGATCTCAGTTCGCTGGGCCCGACGCTCTCAGGGGATTGTAGGATGGCCTGGCCGGGCTCCTCTGGTCCCCTGGATTCAATGGTGGCATCATCAGGCCCAGGCCCCAGGGTCTCATCTGCTGGGCTGGGCTGCGGGGCTGTGAGACGCCGGTAAGTTTCCAACATATGCTCAACCAGGGCTGTACAGGGCAGGCGGGGCAGCTCCTCTGGAAGCGACGTGAGCAGGTCAAGGACCACAGCTGACTCTGGTGATGGATGGAGAGAAGAGGGGTGAGGGGGGCGGGGTCGGCTGCCTGGGAACCCTGTCCCCCCATGACCCCCTCCCGCTCCCCCTCCTCGCACCAGCTGCAGAGAGCTCGGGGCCATGGCCACTGCGGGAGGAGGAGGACAGGTACTTGTAGATCTTCTCAAAGTCCACGGTGAAATCTTCCTCATCAGATGGGCCAGTCAGGGACTCAGAAGGTACCTCAGGGGCGGGGCCAGAGGCCTCAGGGGTGGGGCCAGGGGGCTCAGGGGCAGGGTCCTCCTGCCCTCCTGGAGCGCTGAGCAGCAGCGGCCTTCCGCGTGCCTGGGTGGGCTTGGGGGGCTTGGAATGCAGGAGGCTGACGGGTTCCGTGGCTGCGATGGTGAGCACCTGGCAGACAAAAGGATAGGGGAAGAAATGGGGAAGGTCCTCCCACTTTCCACTCCCTGCTATGCACAGGCTGAGCCCTGCACCTCCACCAGCTCACCAAATCCTCCCTGCCACACTGAGGAAGGCAGCACAGACAGGAGATGGACTCAGGGATGAAGACACTGAGTCTCGAAGTGTCCAGTGACTGGCTGGGGCCACAGAGATGACAAGAGGATGGCCCAGGACCCAGGTCCACCTTATTTGGACTCATAGTACTCTCTGCCTGGAAACACCCTGGACCTGCCTGAGGGGTGGCTGTACCTGCGAGAAAGCTGCTGTCAGTGCTTCCTCCAGTGGACCTGTAATCTTCTCAGCCAGATCTGTCCATACCTGGGTGAATCCCGAAGGTCCATGGTCAGCCCAGGGATCAGCCTGCAGGGGTTCCCCAAGCCCTGCCCTTCCTGGGTATCCCCTGACCAGGTTATCACGCCAGATCTGTCCATACCTGGGTGAATCCCGAAGGTCCATGGTCAGCCCAGGGATCAGCCTGTAGGGGTTCCCCAAGCCCTGCCCTTCCTGGGTATCCCCTGACCAGGTTATCACCAGACCCAACTCCCACCCTACCTCCAGGGACCAGCCCTGGCAAGCCTTGCCCTGCCCACCTGCCTCACCTCTATGGGGGCTGGGGTCTGTGCCTCCCGGCGCCTTGGACCCTGTAGGCCACCTGGATACACCCTCTGAATGGCCTCCCGTGCCACGCGGCCCTTGAGCTGCTGCAGGAAGTCCCGGACCTGGGGAAGAAAGAGGAGGCGGCCGAATGGGCCTGGTACAAGCTCCGGGCTGCAGAAGAGAAGCCAAAGCCCACTGCCTCGCCTGCTTCAGGGCCGCCCACTGCCGCGTGACCTCCCGCTAGCCCAGTGTTAAGGATCCCGGTGACTGCCGGGCCTCGGGCCGAGGCCCCAGCGTGCGACCGGCTACCTACTGAAGAAGGCAGGCCCAGGCCAGGTCTGGTTCCTCCCTGCAGCCGCCGCACACTTCTACACACCACTCGGCCCCATTTCCCGATACTACTTAAACCTCATTGGCGCCCCGTCCAACCGCGCCTTTCGCTCAGTCCGCGTCCTCCGCGGTGTCTTACTCCAAGCTCGACCCGCCCCTCAGTCTTGCTCGTATCCGCCCACGCCCCGCCCCCAGGCTCACCCACTCCCCCGCCCTCAGCGGCACGCAGCCCCGCCCCCAGAGTCGCCCCGCCCCTCCGCCTCACTTACGCCCCGCCCCCACGCTCACCCACTCCCCCGCCCTCAGCGGCACGCACGCCCTGCCCCTAGAATCGCCCCGCCCCTCCGCCTCACTTACGCCCCGCCCACGCCCTGCCTCAGGCTTACTCCAAGCTCGCTCCACCCGTCTTGCTCTAGCCCCGCCCATGCCCCACA